CTGCTGGTACAACTGTTGTCTAGGTGGAGAGGTAGATTCCTTGTGACTCCTACTCCATCTGAAAAATAGAAAAAAGAATGAAGAAAAGTGAACAGTAAATAAAACCTAAGGGACCCTGTGAGATACCATCAGGAGGACAAACATAATGAACTGTGGGAGTTTCAAAGGAGAAGAAAGGGCAGAACATATTGCAAGAAATCATGGTCAAAACTCTCCAAACTTTATGAACAACAATGGTGTACAAATCCAAGAAGTTTATCAGACTCCTGATAGGAAATACTAAGAAACCACCAAATGTATTATAATTAAGCTGTCAAAAACCAAAAAAAAAAAAAAAAAAAAAAAGAGAATCCTGAAAGCAGCCAGAGATGAGCAACTTGTCCCATACAAAGGATTGCAATAAGATTATCAGCCAATAAAGAATCCTTAGAGGCTCGAAAGAAAAAAAACTATCATGGAAAAATCTATATCTGGCAAAATTGTTCTTCAAAAATGAGTTAAGACATTTCTTGACAAAGACAAGCCAAGGGAGTTTGTTACCACCAGCATTCCTGCCCCTCAAGAAATGCTAAAGAGAAACCGACAGGTTGAAATGCAAGTACACTCAATAGTAACTCAAAAATGAGTTCTTCAAAAAAGTTAAGACATTTCCTGACAAAGACAAGCCAAGGGAGTTTGTTACCACCAGCATTCCTGCCCCTCAAGAAATGCTAAAGAGAAACCGACAGGTTGAAATGCAAGTACACTTAATAGTAACTCAAAGCCATACAGAGAAACAGAGATTCCTAGTAAGTCAAATACACTGGCAACTATAAAAGCAAGTATTGTAATTATGATTTGTAACTCCACTTTTTATTTTCTCTGATTTAAAAGTCAAATGCATAAAAAATATTTATGTGGGCTCGGCGCAGTGGCTCATGTCTGTAATCCCAGCACTTTGGGAGGCCGAGGTGGGTGGATCACCTGAGGTCAGGAGTTCAAGACCAGCCTGACCAATATTGGTGAAACCCCATCTCTACTAAGAATACAAAAAAATTAGCTGGGTGTGGTGGTGGGTGCCTGTAATCCCAGCTACTCGGGAGGCTGAGGCAGGAGAATCACTTGAACCCGGGAGGCGGAGGTTGCAATGAGCTGAGATTGTGCCATTGCATTCCAGCCTGGGTAACAGAGCGAGAGACTGTCTCAAAAAAAAAAAAAAAAATTATGTTATTGGATAGATGATGTATAAAATGTTATCTGTGACATCAGTAACAGAAAGGAAAGGGCAGAGCTTTACATGGGCAGAGTTTTTGTATGCTATTGAAGTTCCTTGGTATCAATTCAAATCATATTGTTATAACTTTTGGATGTTGAGTGTAATACCTATGGTAACCACTAATAAAATATCTATAGAATATACACAAAAGGAAATGAGAGGAGAATCAAAAGTTTCATGATAAAAAAAAATCAACTAAACACTAACACAAAAAAGCAGTAATGGAGGAAATAAGAATTTAAAAAAGCATATAAAACCCAAATAGAGAAATGACAAATATAAATCCCACCTTATCAATAATTACTATAAATCTAAATGGTTTAAACTCTCCAATCTAAAGACAGAAAGGAGTCAAGGCTGCGCACAGTGGCTCATGCCTATAATCCCAGCACTCTGGGAGGCCAGCACAGGTGGATCGCTTGATGGGACCGCATGCCTGTGGTCCCATCATGCCAAGGTCCCATCAGCCAAGACTGTGCCACTGCACTCCAGCCTGGGCAACAGAGTGAGACTCTGTCAAGAGGCTGAGGCAGGAGAATCACTTGAACCCGGGAGGCGGAGGTTGCAATGAGCTGAGATTGTGCCATTGCATTCCAGCCTGGGTAACAGAGCGAGAGACTGTCTACAATCAGTATTCCCAAATCAGCATCCAATT